TCATTTGTAACCGTTTTAAGAAGGATTGTCAAAAATTGTATACTTCCTACAAACTAACCGCATTATGGCGTGATTTTTCGTTTCAAACCAATCAGCGTTAAAAGGAGGTCTTAAAATATGTATTCATAGTTTTTCATTATTTAATTAATGACTTGGCATATACGCTGATGAGAGTGTATGGAAAGAAGCCTATAAATACAGACTGAAAAGCTCTAGTTTTAGTCGTTTATGATTTTGTTTTAAGTTTAGTTTAAATTTAGTTTTTAATTTAATATTAATTTAATTTATTATAATAGTTTAATAGTTTAATTTCTGAAGTGTTTTGTATAATGTTGAAGATAAAATTGTTTCTGAAAAGTTTGAAAAATATTAAAAATATTACATTGTTCTTAATAGTTTGATATTTATTTACAGTTGCTGACGAGTGAACCATTGTTTAGAAAGATCGCTTGCTGTTGTTCCTAAGGAAATTGAGATGAAAATATTTGCTGAAGGGTTTGATGAGAAAATTGTTTATGAAGAGTTTCATTGTTAGTTTCTGAAGTGTTTTGTATAATGTTGAAGATAAAATTGTTTCTGGAAAGTTTGAAAAATATTAAATTCTATAAAAATTTATAATACTCAATACAACTCTGTAGAACTCACTCTGCTTGAAATATAGTTGTCGAATATGACATTGTTCCACAAAAGTTTTACAGTTATTATATTTACAGTTGCTGACGAACAAACTCGCTTTAACAAACTCGATAAATCCTATAGAACTCTGTATAACTATGAATTTCTATAAAATGTACAATTACATGAACCCTGTAAAGCCCCTAAGGGTTAGGGTAAAACACTGTGAAGCTGTAAAACTCAATTTTACAGTGTATCATAAACTTATACAATGTTTTACAGTGTTTTATCGAGTTTTGAAGAGTTTTATAAAGTTTAGCAATTTTTACTTGAAATTATAATGTTTTTTAATATTTTGTTACCAGAATTATATCTTATTTTTAGATATCAGAATTTCTAGCGCTCTTATGTAAGTGTCTTAGCATTCAACTTTGTCAATGGCTGATCGTCCTTTCGTACTTCCAGTTTTTTTGTTTGAAACTGATTTATCTATTTTAAAAATGAATTTAATCTGTAACTTACCATTTTTTGAAAATCTTACCTGTAATACATTTTAATGATATCAAAGATAGTTGCTGAAAAGTTAGATATAGATGAAGAGAAAATTGTTTCTGAAGAGTTTGAATGATAACTATTGAAAAGTTTGTGATGTTGCT